GTCACAAAGCAATAAAATCCTCAAAAAAATCTACTGATATCTGTGGAAGAATATAACATTGGAAAAAATCAGATTTATTTATTATTCGTCAAGCTGATTAATAAACAAAAAAAAAATCAAAATATCCAGACATGCATTTTTTAATAATGATACTAGCATAATACCAGTAAAAAATAGGTTTATTTATGGTAGTTCTACATAGGATCAGTTCTGATTGGTAGTTCTACATAGGATCAGTGTAGTATCTGTGCATTAGGAATAATGTAATATCAATATGCTATAGCAAAAGTCACATACTATACAAGAGTGGACACTGTGGTCAACACCAAGTGGTGACTGTTTCAAGAAACCAGTCTAGGAGAACAACTCTGAATTCAAAACCTCATGGCTCACTATCTGTACCAGTTCTGTGTATTCAGTTCTTCCAAAAATTGTGGAGGTTTGGCAGTATATTCAAATTATATGTGCAGGTAGTCTGTTTAGTTCTAGAGGCTGAATTGTTGGATCCTCATACATCAAAGACGACAAGAGATCCTATCATATATACATTGTGTGATGGATAATTGCCTAAATTATGCAAAAATGAAAACAACACTGACATCTCATTTTAACAGATATATTTACCAAAATTATACAAAAATATCTTGAAATACTAAAAAGTAAATTTATTCAATAAAATAGCCATTGGCTTCAACCACAGCCTCTAGACAACTTTACAATCTCCTGCAACTCTTCAGGACAGTATCCTTCTTTAAATTGGTGAATGCTGCTATAATCCTTGCTTTCAGTTCATCTTTGGTGCTACAAGGAATTTTTTTGGTTTCGTACTCAACTGTGCCCCACGTATAATGGGCTGCAGTCTGGGGAGTTAAGTGGCCAGATGTGTAAGGGGTGATGTTGTTGCAGAAATTGTCTGACAGCCATGATTAGGTTCTCCTGCTTGTGTGACATGTTGCAAAAATCTGAGGCCCTGTGGGAAGATGAATGGAAACATAACGTCACCATCACTAGTAATCACTCCAAACACCATTATGTTGACTGGATTTATCATCCAACTCTTTCCAAATCCTCTGCATTGTCCTTAGATTGACACCCAAACACTCTGAAATGTTAATATTGAAGCTTCCAGTGCAAATGCCAAGCAGTACAGCATGCTGCTTCTAAATTTCTGGCAAAGAGAATTGGCTCATGGTACTTTTTTCCTTACAGACAGTGCCCAACTAAGCCTACTATACTGTGCAGTCAACAAAATCAAAGAACAAAACCAACAATGTGCATGCATAAAATTAAAAATATAAAATGGCGACAATTTACCCATCGCAACACACACACACACACACACACACACACATATATATAGTCAATGACAAAATTATTTGTACACCCATCAATTTTGAATATTTTTATCCATTTCTCAGAATTTCATGCCCATATGATGCCAGGTTTCTTATATGTTAATAAGCACAAAAAAGGGAATATAAAACTCAATTTTCAGAACAATAGGTTATATATATAAAATTTGACAGGCAAATTATGCAAAATAGGAAAAGACAAAATTATTCATATAGTATGGAAAATAGAAAAAATTGAATAATTTTCACAATATTATTCGTCAATAGCATGGCCTCTCCCCTTTATAACTTGCTGCAATCCTTTTCTAAATTTTTTTGATGGGTGTATGGATAATTTTTGTTGATATATATATATATATATATATATATATATATATATATATATAAGGAATTGTTGAAAAGTTTCCTGATGATGAATGGATTTAAAAAATCCATTCTTCGTCAGGAAACTTTTCAGCAGTATTTCCTCATTTTTTTCAAAAAAGTTCTGTCGGTTTTTAAAGGAAGAAAAGAAAATGCTTCACAGTATGTGTAACTTATATTTAGTCTTTGAAGTAATCGCTATTGGCATCCAGCACCTTCTGCCAATGTGTCTCCAGCTGTTCAATGCCCTTGCGGTAGAACTCTTTGATGCAAAGAAGTCCGTGAGGGCTTTGTGCAAGTCTGCTTCATTGGTGAAGGATTTCCCACGAAAATGATTATCCAGGGAATGGAAGACGTGGTAATTGGATGGCACAAAGTCTCCCACCCAAGTTGCTGTATGGTATCCCTGACCACTCGCGCGACATGTGGCCTAGCGTTGTCATGGAGGAAAAGCACACCTTTGCAATTCACCAGTGCTGGCTCCTTCTGGTACAATGCCTGTTGCACACGTTTCAGTTGCTGCAAGTATAGGTCTCCAGTGACTGTTTAGCCCATTGGTAGCAGTTCATAATGAACCACTTGACGACCTGTCCATCAGACACAAAGCATAATCTTGCGTGGGTGCATAGGCGGTCTTGTGGTGTGAGGGACAGCATCCTGAGGAGACAACCAATGTCTGGAATGCTTGGGAGTTTCATACAGAACCCACTTTTCATCGCTGGTAAGCACTCGATTAAGGATATGGTACAGTGGCGAGAAAGCAGCGATACACAGGCTGCCACTTGTTGTCCCTTGTGGACCTCCTACAGTGTTTGCGGAACCCACTTGCTCAGTTTGTACGTCTTACCTAGGAGGTGCAGGTGAAGTCTAACTGTTTCATCGGAGACGTTGAACTGTCTTGCAAGTTCACCACACGTTAGACTACTGTCCTCTTCAATGGCTGCCTTCAGGACTCCATCATTCAAGACCTGTGGTCGTCCACTGCGAGGCTTATCATGGAGAGACAAATCTCCTGACTTGAATTTTCAAAACCAATGCCTTGCAGTACGTTCATCCACAGCACTATCCCCAAATGCTTGACATATGCGGCGACTTGATGCAGCTTCTGATAAGCCCACTTTGAAGTCGTAAAGCAAACAACCCCAAACGAGATCTCTAGACACTTCCATCCTTCTCACACCTGTCCGGTTTATAACTGATGGCTGGGCATGGTGCATGTGTTTTTTATAACATCTGATGTTCCTACTTCTGGTTGTCCGAATTTGAAAACAATTGCTACACGCATTTCGTATATATTTCAACTTCATTCAATGACTAATCAAAAACGGACAGAACTTTTTTGGTTACCTTGTATTTATATATTTTGATGTGTACAACTATGTGACCTGAAAAGGATCCTTGTATTATCAACTAGAATTTACCTTAAAGGTTCTTTGAAGTTATGAGTTAAATGTTTATTAATTGCACACTACTGCGACAGGTGGCATGTAAGACATCTACTCAGTGAGGTAGTGGTGTGTCTGATATAGGTCATTTGTTTTTTGACAAGTAACACAGTCTTCTAAAGGGTAATGGAATTAGTATGTCATTAGGGAGGCTCTGCTTATTAAACTTTATTCTCCCACTATCAATCTCACACAATTTAGCAGAGGCAACGGCATGTTAAAAGTGTTCTAAAAATAGAAGTCTTTCCCCAGTCAACTGGCTGCATAGTATATGACTGCCTAGAGGCACACAAACTGGTCAAACTCAAATTTACTATGCATCAGCTACAAACAGAATTTCAGCATCCAAAAAACACATCCTTGATAATGGCTGAAAGCACTTGGAACAATTATAACTATGGACAATTCCTATATTCTTTAAGCCTCTGAAAAACAGCAAAATGTTAGATTGCTGGAAAAATTCAATAAAAGATTAATTAAATCTTCCTTGTCAGCTGTTTTCAATGGAAGATGCATATATATATATATATATATATATATATATATATATATATATATATATATATATATATATATATGCCAGTTTAACCTGAAGATCTGTTTAGGTGAAACCTAGGTAGGTAGTTCCTAGCTCTTTAGGATTTTTTTCATTTTCTGCTCTACTTAGTGTATTGAGCACTTTCGTTTTATCTTTAGGGTACTGGATGATTTTTTCTTTGCCCTGCTCAGATTTTCCCAGTTCTTTCTTTTTTTTTTTTTTTCAATTTTTTCCCAGGTACCAATTTGTTTCAACATATTTATATTTTTGAATTGCATCATCTGGGTTTTTCACCAACCGAGTATAGTTACTAATATATATATATATATATGATTCAAAAAAAATTATATATATATATATATATATATATATATATATATATATATATATATATAAATTTTTTGAATCATCTTCAAGAAGGAGAGCAAGAACTAAAAAGGTCAGCCGATCTAACAGTGATCTCACAATCCTAGCTCTTGCTCCATATGTGGCCCCCTTATAAATCACTAGTGGGTCTTAAATGCCACTTAAGATTATTGCACAAAATTTCATAACTGAATCAACTAAGCTGTCAGATCCTCATACGTTGAAACCGACAGAGAGTCCATTATAACTGATTTTAAGAAATGGGTGGGTTTTGTATATATCTGAATACCCACTGTATTTTATATATGTAAAATTTTCAGATTGAATAGATGCTATCCTTTTAACTAAAGCCAAATGGAAAGGTGCCTACTCTAGTCATCTGTTCTTTTAATTCTATTTGATATTTTGAGGATATATACTGCATGTATACATATACGCCTATAACAATCTTTTATATACAATTCTATAAAACATAGTATTGTCTCTATATGTGCAAAACATTTTTATATAAAAAGAAAGGGAGTTAAACTTATTCTAATCCATCCATACTTAATTTTAAAATAAGTTCTCATGAAAGTAAAATCATGATTTCTGATTTTGTAACCCTTGTTTTTTGACTTAATTTGTGTTTTCTCTTAATTAGTTATATATAAATTTCTGTGAGGTTTTAATAAATGCTTTTAAAAGTTGAACAGAGTCTAAAAATTTTAATAAATATAAGACAGTCACAAAAGTAAGATATAGAATTTGATAAAAGGAAAATGAAAATTTTTACTTTTTGATTTATTGTAATTGAGGCCATATGTAAAGTGTAACAGTTTCATGGTACATTAGCATGTGTAAATTTATTTTGATGTTATTAAAATATTTGTTCACATCTTTTAATCAGAATTTTGATTAAAATTGGGAATAATTTATATTTTATGTCTTCTGCAGCTTTGATTCTCATTCACGTGGACATGTTGATAGAGCCACATTTGACAAGAGGAGTATGGCACAGATGCAGTTGAATGAAATTAGTGATCGTGACTCAGGTAATCCTTTCTCTTCTTTATTCATTTCCATCTTTAATATACAGCTGTATATACCTGGTAGTAACAAGAAGAAATATTCAGTCACAATGAAAAACTATATATGTGTGCACACATACATATACACACACACATATATATGTAAATATTCTCAGGTGGAATTTATCTGTAGAAGAGACAAAATGAATAGAGACAAGAGGAAAAGCTATACTTAGCTGATGCATTTCGTCCTCTGAGGGTTTAAGGCAAAGTGGGATTTATTATGCTGCACACATTTATACACACACAGGCGAGGTTATCATTGGTTTATCAAGGCTTATAAATTTGAGAATGTTCATGAATGTTCATTAGGTGGTTGAAAGGTCAGTCAAAGCATGTGGAGTGTATAAAGTGTCCTGATTCTAATTCCGGTGAAAAGTAAAGTATGGGAGTAATTGAAGAACTCTGGAAGCAGAGAAACACACACACACACACACACACACACAAACACACACAAAACATCCTTTAAAAGTAGTAAACATGCAAACAGTACATATCTAAACATATGAGAAATTAAAAGCAAAAATCAAATTACATAAAAAAATCATGAAAAATAAGGAAAACAGCATCAGCCTACAACAATAAATCCTAAAAATGTAAATGTTATTTAGAAAAGAAAATAACCATAATTATCTTCCCAGACCAACACAAATTACTAAATACATGATCAGAACTCATATCAAAATGCAGACATGAAAACAAATTTTTACCACATTACCACATTAAAAGTGAAAACTAAAAGCAAATATGAAAAAATAAATAAAATAAGTAAAGTAAAATGAACAAAAAATTGAAATCAATAAATAAGTAAACAAATTAATTAAATAATAAACAAATTAATAAACTCTAAATGCACACATAAACACAATTAAATGTAATAATATTAACCAACAACAAATAATAGTCAATAATAAATAATAAATAAAAAAAAGTTAACAAACAATATTATAAAATATCTACAAATAACAGCATTTGAATCCAGTTATTCCTACTCAATCATCTTTAGAATAATTTGACACAATCATCATCCAATAACTGTTAGGATAATACAATAAACCTTCTACCCATAATGCAACATTGACCAGCATATATAAACAGTTGAGTCAAAATGCAAGGTACATGGCCTGAAGATTGCATTTAAAACAGGAAACAGACTGTTGCTACTGGATGTTGAGCTCAATGTCTACTTGTGTGTGTGTGTGTGTGTGTGTGTGTGTGTGTGTGTGTGTTTATATATATATATATATATATAAATTCCCAAGAAGATAGAATCCAGGTAGAACTCAATGTCCAGGACAGAGTAAGAATATAATATAAAAGAATTGGATCGTGATTACGATTCCAATGTAATAAATTATAACCATGGAATATTAGTGTTTGAGCTTTTTATATATATATATATATATATATATATATATATATATATATTTTCTTTCTATATTCTTATTTTACTTTATTTTACTATGTAAGTGAAATGAAAAGTTCAAATAGCTAAAAATATTGTAATTCCTATTAACCTTGATTTTTTTCTAATTTCTTATTTGAATCTGTATGTAATTATTTTTGCAAATAGCATACACGAATGTACTTGAAAGTTTTTTCAAGATTCAAAGAGGAAAGAGTATTTTAAATAGAGAATTAGAAAAGCATGACATTAACTCTGAACAAAAATTTAAATTCATCTGTATTATGCAGATGAGATGCTAAAAAAGTAGTTTTGTTGTATTTTCATCTGCATCATAAACATAGCTTGGATTACATGTAAGATTGGGAAATGCTACACATTATTACTTATGATATAATAGCTTAACTTTACAAAAATTTATTAAAAATAAGAAAACATTTTTCAGAAATAGTTTGAGTTAAAATTATAAAGGAAAAAAATCAAACCCAATAAAAAAATTCTTCTTTGGAGTTTACTTTTCTATTGTTATTGCTAAAAATATACAATAAATGTGACTCTTGATAATCTTTGGGTATTGATTAAATTTATGAATAAAATGTTCATTATTAGTTAGAAGAGAAAAAGTTCCAGGAGAAATAGGAAAGAAATGTTTCATTTAATGGCAGAATAACCCACTATAGTATTGTGAAAAATCTCCCAAGAAAAAATATCAGGTACAACCTAATGAAATAATAATCTTTTACTTCTAGGTTTTGTATTTCTAGATTATTATTTTCAGTTTTCTTGTGTATCTTACTCATTGTACTCAAAAAGAACCTGAAAATGTAAATCTTGCCTATTTTTTAACATCAAATATAATTGTAAACATTTCTGTGATTAACATTTTTAAATCATCTATGAAATATTGTTTTGTCATAAAAAGTTTTATCTATATATTTGTTTCTTCATACTTTTTCATTTTAGATAAAAAAATCATTTTACATTGAAAATGAGTAATTCCACCATATTTTGAGGTTGATTTGGTGTTTTGATTAAAGTATTGCAGAAATATAAAAATTTAAATAAACATAACATGAATTTAAATGGTGTAAATAGCATAATCTACTCGGAATCATTTTTTTTTTTAATTTAATATACTTATTGTATATTAGAAACAGTAAAAAAAACAAAATAATTCCAAGTAGTTTATCCTACTTACACCATTTAAATTCAGACTATTGGCTTCATTTTTGTTGTTATTATTATAACATTTTGGCCATTTGTCCCTCCAGGCTTCATCAGGTTTATGATGATCTGGGTAATCTATAGGGAATTCTGAAATAAACTCTTTATTGAATCTACAGGGGTGGGCTGTTCTCGTTCCATAGGGATACCTTGCCCAGTTCTTATTTTTAGTATTGCTCAGTTATTGTTCACACTGCCTTGATTGAACTCACCTTACTTGGACTCAGTAGGCAAGCACTAAGCAATACTAAAAATAAAAACTAGATGAGAAATCCCTAGACATGACCAAATTTTATTATGCAAGTCAATATTTTTTCAATAAAATTGATATTACATACTGATGTTGGTAACATTTTCAGGATGTTCAGATATTTATATGAAAAATATATCAAATGAATTTCAGTTTATAAAATTTGTCGTTATAAAAAATATTAATAATAACTTGTTTTGAATATATTAGGTTCTATTATGCAATATAAATTTTTATTTATAAATCCAAAAGATATAGTTTATAGAAACAGTATCCCATATACTTGAATAAATTATTATTCTCTTTTACATGTTAATATAACTTTCTGGATGTGAGGGTGGTGTAATGGATAACAGCTCAGAATGAGAAATTGGAGATCTGAGTTTGAATTCCAGTCAAGATGGTTACATTTATTTACACACAAATATCCTTGGGAAAGGTATGAATTAATCTTCCTCCCAGCTACGTGTTAAATAAGTAGAACTTATATCTAGAAAAAATTGTTAATACAATATTCAGTCACAAAAAAAGAATTATTCTAACAATACAGAATATTTTTGGGCTTTAAATAACTCACAAATGGTTGATAAATGATAAAAAAAACAAATCACTCAATCAGTCCTTAATATTTGATAACTTTCATCTGTCTTTCAAATATTGATTTTATTTACTTTTTTCTCTTTCAACTTGAGGCAGTTTTTATTGCTTCCCAGGGATGATTTCTGCTTAAATACTGTTTTCTATTAATTTGATTTCTTTGAAACCTTTTCTTGTCAAGGTGGACAATAGTCAGTATTGCACAATATGAAGAAACATTATATTATATGAATAAATTTTTTAGCTTAAAGCTTCTTGGTTGTGACCTGTGCCAATCAAAATATCTTGTTGAGAAACTTTTTTTTAAGGGCCATTCTATTATTTTAGTTCTCTTCTATGGGCAAGGTGGGCAATAGTCAGCTTTGCAGAATATGAAGAAGCATTGTCTTATATGAATAGATACTTTAGCTTAAAGCTTCTTGGTTTTGACCTGTACTACTTAAGAAAACATTATGCCCAAGAATAGTTCTTTACATTTATCTTGACACTATCATCTGTTTGGAATGAACCTATAATTTTTACTGCCTACAATATTAGCTCTATATTAATTTACCTTCACACTATTGTTTTCTAAATTGTGTTGGTTGACTGTTTCCATAAAGTGCCCAACCTCAAATCTAGCCACCAGGTTCATCCAATGGAGCTCTACATTCATCACTAAAAATTACTGTTGAGAAATCAGTTTCACTTACTACTCTATCCAACTTATAAGTTTCTTTTACTGACATTTACTTTCATGTTTTTAGCCAATGTTCTTAATATTCTGCATCTCTTCTTTGTTTATACCAACTTCAAATATTTTGCTTGTAAATTTTCTGGTTTATTACTTTTTAATTTTGTTGTGAAGTTAAAGCACTAATCAGCCACTAACCTTGTACTTCTACCTCGTTATTCCCAGTGACCACTTATATGAGTGTTCACTTATGCTTACGCAAATTATGCATACTAATTTGCTAGTATCACTACATCTCCCTGAACCTTAAGGGTTTTATTCCTCTCGTAGATCTTGTACTCCTTCTCCTGCTATTTTCATCACTTTGCTCTATTTCTCTCTCCCCCGTATTTCTTTCCCTGGGAGACCTCGATCTGTCCCGGGCTAGGCTGTAGTCATATGTGTTTTCTTGCATAATCTGGTCTTTGTCCGAACTTTCAGACTCATTCTGGCCCTCTTCATCCTGCATTGTTTCCTCTTCTGACATTTCCTTCTGTAATAGTTGTTCTACCAACTCGTTATCAGATGGAATTGAAGACCTTTCTTCGTTATTTCGTTCTTCCTCTTCACCCTGAGTCCTTATTTGGTCTGCATGGGCTAGCACACTATCACCATTTTCTCTATTTATTATGGCTGTATTGTGGCCTTATTGCATTATAAATTCGGCTCCTTCCGGATCTGCATCTTTGCTCTTTTTGTACCACATTTTTTCATTTGTAGAATATGACATCGTTAGCGGAGCTCTAATCTGTCTTCCCATTAAAGCTGATGGGCTT